AACCTCTTTTAGTGCGAAGTGTACAAGATTCTTAATAGCCGTAAAAAACCCATCGCAACTTTATTAGAATATTTTGAAGGGGAAAGAGGTGGTAATGGCCCTTTATATCCCTTAAGTGCTGTTAAGGAGGTGGGTTTTGTTAATGTAAATAATAACTGTTTATATATTTAAATTTAATTTATTTTTGTTTCCTAAAATATTTTGATTAAAAGAAAATATGCAAAAGTGGGCAACGCTGCGTCGCACAGTGCTTCGTCCCATGGACAAAAATCAAAAAATAAGTTAAAATTTACTAATATCTGAATATATAATTTTATACTTATAGCAATGTTCAACCATCCTGTATATTATTTTTCATAAACAGCGTTTTTGTTAGCAAATATTTTCACTAAAAATAAATTTTGCGATCATTATCTCATCAGTGAAAAGAATAACATTCATAGTAGTTCTGTATATTATGGAGTTAAACGGGTACGTACTTAATTGAAAGCCACTATGGATATTGTTAAACAAGGTATGTACTTTAAATTTATTTCTAAACAAGTTCGTGATTGTTTAGTTTTTACTTATTTTTTAAGATGATTCTTAAATGGGTATAAAAATTATACGTTTTCAAAACATATCGTATTTATTGAATATTTTTGTTGCCATATTCATACACTTTTAATTTTTGTATAGTTCACCTGCGTCCGCTTGCGACGAACTTTATTTTATAATACTTCAGATGGAGTAAAATTGATAAGCAATGCCGATCTGGCTAATACTTGGCTTGATCATAAGAACAAGAACTCAAAATTATTTGTATTTCAAAAAATATATTCTTATTAGATATTGATGAACCTTCCAGTCAAATGAGACACCACTTGTGCCTGAAAAAGTCCACTATGTTGGAGCGAAACGTCGCATAAAAAAGTGTCCATCTTTCAATTTATTATAAAATCTCATACCCAAGAAAAGGAAAAAATAATATATGGATATGGTCTATTAAAGAGGTAACTATTAACATCCGAACCCCTCATACCGACAAAATGAACAGTAACAACGCGAAAAAGTAACATATTAGAAAATGATGTACAGAAATATCTTATATGTGAGGATACTTCATCTACCTGTGATTTGGATACCATAAATTTGGAAGATTCTGTCAGCAGTGATTCTCCTGAATCAGAGTAGTTACGATCAATGCATTTTGTTGTCCTAAAGTAAATTTATAGTATCTTAAGTTTATTTTTTAATTAAATATAACATTAATGTTTCTTTTTCATTAAGAAAGACATTTTTATCATCTATTAGGCTTATATTGTAGGAATCATGTTCTAATGTTATTTCAATTCTTTTTTATCACAGGAATTTATTTAATACTTACACCGTTTTCATACTATATCTTATTATTTGCTTAGATGGAACACAGCTCCAACATTATTATTATTTATAAGATTTTTTTTTCATAAACGTGGGACTAAGAACATCATCATTTAGTACAATGAGAGTACTCATCATTTGTGTCAAATAAACCTAGTTTGAATGAATTGCTTACAATAAAAGAGAAGTTTTGGATTTTTGTCCTCTAGAGCCATATGTTCGAAGCACTGTGCGCTGGTCAGGCTTAATCACGTGACTAAAAGTTTATTTGGTATGAACTAGTAGTGGGAACTATCGAAACATTCGATAGTTGCAATTTATTCGAATAATTCGATAGCTAGTAAGAAAACATTCGTTGAAAACTATTCGAATAAAAATTATCGAATAGATGTGTCATCTGCCTTGAAATATTGTATTCTAGTAATTCGTCAGCAAAAACCATTCATTTATAAAATTCATTCATTTATAAAATTCATTCGTTTATAAAATTCAGTCATTTATAAAATTCCTTCATTTATAAAATTCATTCATTTATAAAATTCATTCATTTATAAAATTCATTCATTTATAAAATTTATTCATTTATAAAATTCATTCATTTATGAAATTCATTTATTCGTCACGATCGATTATAATATAATATTAACTAGATTTTAGTTGTTGCCCGGCGACGTAGGTTTCTTTCCGAGAGACCCGACAGCGGTCGGTGGCAATGCTATGAAAGAAACCGGCATCTTTGATTTTTTGCGGAGTCAGATAAAGATAAGGACACATTTTTTTTTTATTGAGGTGCTAGTATTTACACAGAAAATAAATTATAAAGAGCGCTGTTGCCATATATTGGTATTAGTAGATATTAGCAAAGAATATTATTGTTTGGCTTTAGTTAGTTAGGGATAGTACCGTATGATCGAAAAAAAATGGCGTCCAGTTGGCTGGGAAATGACGATCGATGACATTTCCCATATAAATTTATATATAAAATGACAGCGATCTTCATTTCATAGCCATCGCTGACGCCGTTTTATTCGATCATACGGTATGTCTATATATTTTGCATTTTTTTATTGATATTCTGTTGTTACGTTACACTGCAATAATACTTGTTATTTTGGATGTAGGAACATGATTTTTAATGTTTTTAGGCAAAGACTGGTTTAATAAATAATAATAACAGTAATAATTTGTTATATCTATTAACAACAAAATTTAAAATCATTTAATATAAACATTTTTTAAGTAGTAGCAAAATATAAACAACAAATTAGAAATCAAAATAATTTATATTAGGTACTTTATATTACTATTTAAAAATAATATTTACTTTTACTGGCATTTAATTTTAAAAATAAATGAAATATTTGTTCGCAAAAAAATTACATGTAAGAGAATTAACATAAACAAAATACAAACATCGTAATGTTAAAATCGTTTTTTTTTTTAAATTGGCACGTGTAAAACTTTCAATTTAATTTTCTCACCCCATAGTTTGAGTTCGATAACCATTTACTTAACCACATTACTTAAATATGATTATTAAGTTCAACTAATTCATATCATTAAAACATCTAAAATACAAATACGTATTTTAAAATTAATTGTAAGTTCATCTCATCTCTCTTAAAAATTGCTACTTCTCAAAATTTCCCATTAAAAAATAGACTATATACCATATAAAATTAAATAATTGAAAGATCGGGCTACGGAAAATCACACAAATTTTCGGAAAAATTTTGACCACCTGCACACGCACACAATTGTCAATTAAAAAAAAAACTACTATTTTAGTATTTTAAATATTTTAATAAACGCATAAATAGCACAGTATTTATAAGGTGAAGTTAAAAAAAATTTGGAAGAATTAATAATGCACTGCTGCACACAAAAATCAATCGTATACTAAATTTCATTTATCAAAAGCATTCGATATTCGTGGCTCAACGATAACCATTTAGTCGCACGGCGAGGTTGTCACATATGCTTTAGTATACAAATGAATGAATGATTTTATTCGAATAAAACCATTCGATAGTTGAAATCATTCATTCAGTAACCATTCCATAGTCTAATTCATTCGATAGTTCCCATCGCTAGTATGAACAACTGTATGTCTTTAACCTAATGGAACAAAAAGCCACTAGGTTTAGACAAGTCTTATAGACATAGTGGATTTTTAGGCGAGACTCACATGTACCACTTTATAATGAATTTTTTGAAACACAAAAGTGTCGTCATAGAAAGTAAGAAATTTGTTATACCGGGTGGTGTATCGTTGTTGGAAATTCAATGCAAATTTAGAACTGTACAAATATTATTGGCTCCCCTATTTATTACTGTTAATTTGTAAATAGTTTTTTTTAAAGATCTGTGTAGGCTGAATACACATGCCAAATTGGAACAATTTTTGACAAGCCTGTTTTAAGTAATTTAAAAAACCGCATCTATTTTTAAATTAAAACTTGAACAGATACCTTAAAGTAGGCTTGGTACTTAGTAGGCTTGTCAACCGTCTTCGATTCTTAGAACAGTCCTCTTTTTGATCGTACTTTTTTAGTTCTCTTTTCTCTCACATATTGAAAAAGTCCTGCATAGGTGCATAGTTGGATACGATGTTTCGTTTACATCTTCATCGGGGTGGGACTAAGGATTTGATATTGAGGAAAAATGTGGGTCGATTTCGGCATAATTGGAGGCTACAGGATGACGCCCTCGACGTTTCGAACCAATGTCTCTAAATGGACGAAATTATCTGGATTTTTTTAATTATGGGTCGATTAGAACCAAACTCGGCACGTGAACAGAGGTGTAACAGAGGTGTAACAGAGGTGTTTTATTCCTGAATGGAGTCGTCAACCGGACAGATGGACAGACGAACAGATGATCATTTTAATACAAATTTTGTGTAAGTGAATCAAATTATTAATTTTTAATTTATTACTTTTTCAACATTTTAAACTACATTTTTTCAAACAAGTCCTTCAAATCCTTCAACGTAATAGTAAGAAGTTTTCCTTCAAATATGCTCACATAGTGTACAGACAATTTAAGTAATTTTAAGTATTTTCTATGTAGAAATTCTGTAGTAGACATTTGTTAAAAAAGTCCTATACTTTCATTGCTGGCTGGACCATGAACATTCTTCAAGCTCTTGGTCTTAGACTTGTATTTACCCATCACTAGTCTATTTTCTAAAATACATTATAAAGTCTGACTCAAGGATATATAGAATAAGGATATTCGACTGGCCCAAAAAAAACGTGCCGTATTTTGTCGAGGAAGTCGATTTCGTCACGACCAATGGGCGTCGAGTATTTGAAATTGAAAACATATAAATTGACGGTAACCTATGTTTTTGATTCATTTCACTGACAGATGTGATGAGTTTGTTATTGTAATTTATTGATCCAAAATCCAAACGTTTTTTGAATAAATAATTTATTTTAAAGTTATTTCCTAGAGGTTTGGTTTGGCCTTCTATATTCTGATATTTGTCTACTAATAAATAATATCTTATTTTGTATTTCGATGTATGGAAATCCGCAAGTTTTGTATCTGAAGCCGCAAAGAAATTTCGCTCTATAGTGAGAAAAATGTTATATCTTTTTAGACGCGTAGAATTACAAAATTTCTTATTTCAGATGTTCTAAATGTGAGTGCTTAATGTCAAAAATTAAAATATATACTTGAAATATTGGTATATTATTTCAAGTTATACCCTTTGCCCTTTGGAAGTAAACAAATATTGAAGAAAGTGCTGTGCCTTCACAGGATTTAAATTGGCATTAGGAATAGATTTCCTTGATTTAGTAATGATATTGCTCATAGAAATTGATAATATACTATTTTATATTCACTCGTTCAAGTGCTGATCTATTTTCAAATTGAATATTTATGTAAGTATTATGTATAACACGATATAAATAATTTAACGACAAGAAATTAAAATTTCAAGTGCCAATATTGATTATTTTTCCAGTTTTATTCAAATATATTGAAATTAATATGGAAAGAAAAGTTCATAAATATTATTCTTAATAACAAGAATTGAGATTTGGGGATAAGTTTGAAAAGCCATGTCAGAAGAGTAGGATTAAAGACAAAGTATTAAGGTAACATATATTTGCATAAAGTTTTAATGACACTGACAATTTTATTTGTTTATGTTTATTAATTAAAATTTAGTTGCAATTTATTTCATATTCTAATATTTTTGAGAAAATTTTACTTATATACATACCTGAATATTATGCTGCTTTTTTATTTTAAAGTGTGCCGACTGTGCTGTTATTTTTATACTAGTAATATTGTATACTGTAGGTATCGTATTCATATATGTATAGTTATAGTATATCAGTAGTATAGATACTTACTTTCTTACTATGCGTACTTATATCCTTTATAGTCTTTCTAAGTGCATATAATACTACGTTTTTAAGAGAAGGCGGTTTTTAATAATCTATTGTTAATTCCCCTAATTCTGTGTCCCCTGGTTCTGCTAAACAACAATTATATATTTTTATCATTACTGATTTTAAAAGTTTCTTTTCAAAGAATTTGACCATATATTTTTTTTCAGAGTAATTGGGCTGTTCCTGAACAATATTGAATATAAATATTCAAAAATATGATTGATAACTGCATATCCTACTAAGTAGATCAATACCAAAATCCCATTAGAGAAATAAGTTAAAATTATGTTTTACTTGTATAATTTTCTTGCTATTTGTCCACCATTATTTGTGAGTTAGAAATTAAATAGTCAAAAAGAATTTAGTACCAGTTTTTATTTCCCAAAAAAATCAATTGTTAAATAATTACATATTGCTTAAGATACAGTATATTATACTGTGTTTATAGTTGATAATTCTAGTTCTTAGTTGTTTATAGTTGATAATTAACAATATTTCTGATGTTAGATATTATATTAAATATTAATTACCAATAGCTACCTACCTATGTAGCTGCAGATTATATATTGTGTAGTAGGTACTGTATAATTCTTTAGTTCAAGAAACAAATATCAGTACAAGTATATAACCAAAAAAATGTTGATGCAAATTCTTTGTATAACATACGTACCCCTATGGTATTCAACTTTTCATTGTTCTTTTAATTAGATACACAATAAGCACATTAATTCGTTTATTAAACAACCAAAACTAACTACTTAAATTCACAATATAAATATCACAATAAATGTATAAGCTTTGATCAATTCCTATTATTAATACCTGACTTCATACTTTATAACTACCAATGGCTATCCTACTAACACACTAGCCAACTAATAATAAATCTGTTCTAAAAAATACAACATAAAGACATCGTTATTGCAATAATATAGAAATATATTCCATGTATCATTAACTACCTATAAATACAATACCCACATCTTCTTTTACGCGAATAGTGCGTTAGAAGGCAGAAATATTTCCTGCATTGTACATTGTACAAATTGGCTAGAATTTATTAATATCCATTGCAAACATTTCTCTTTCAAAGGGTCTAAATGTTTTGTCTTTTTACTGTGTCCCTGTAATATGTTATCAATTAACAACAGTTATCAAATATGACCTGGACAATAATAATTGTTTTACCTTTTTTTCAAACTAAACTCTTTAAACAAACTATATAAATAAAATTCTCATAACCTAACTTGCTGCTAGAATTTCTTTCTTGTTATTCTATGTTCCTGTATTGTGATTCTTCACATTATCAATTTCTATGAGCAATATCATTACTAAATGAAGGAAATCTATTCCTAATGCCAATTTAAATTCTGTGAAGGCACAACACTTTCTTCAATATTTGTTTACTTCCAAAAATGTCAGCATATAACTTGAAATAATATTTCAAGTATATATTTAAATTTTTGACATGCACTCACATTTAGAACATCTGAAATAAGAAATTTTGTAATTCTACACGTCTAAAAAAAGATATAATAACATTTTTCTCACTATAGAGCGAAATTTCTTTGCAGCTTCAGATACAAAACTTGCGGATTTCCATACATCGAAATACAAAATAAGATATTATTTATTAGTAGACAAATACCAGAATATAGAAGGCCAAACCAAACTCTAGGAAATAACTTTAAAATACATTATTTTTTCAAAAAACGTTTGGATCTATAAATTACAATAATAATCTCATCACATCTGTCAGTGAAATGAGTCAAAAAACATAGGTTACCGTCAATTTATATGTTTTCAATTTCAAATACTCGACGCTCATTGGTCGTGACGAAATCGTCTTCCCCGACAAAATACGGCATATTTTCCAACATAGCCCGCTATAGGGAGTTGAATATCCTTCTTCTATATATCCTTGGTCTGACTTAAGTAATATCCTTTAATATTAAGCGGTTAGTATTTATAACCAGTGGCGCAACTTGACACCGACTTTTAGGAGGGCTTAAATCTTTTGGGCGGGCCCAGCTCCCCTACAAGATGATATTGATTTGAGATTAAAACCAATTTTAATTCACCAGCACCAATCATCAGGAAGGGCTAATTTTGAGTTTGGGGAGCTAAGCACCCCCTAGCCTCCCTCTAGTTGCGCCACTGTTTATCACATTTAATAACAAACAAATATTTATTAAATACCCGTCATCTCCAATAAAAGCTCAATAAATTGATATTTCTCAAGAACCACCAGATAACATCTTCCTATATACCTGTAAAATAAATATTACAAAGGAACGATTTACTGCAACGTCGAAACAGGTAAAAAGGCGTATTTTCAAACTGATCAAACAAATGTTAATCTCTTATTAATAAGTTGTTATAGGCATATAGAAAGTAAGTTTAAATGAGCGTGCTCACTTTTCCACTATTATTAACATTATTAATATAATAAACCAAACAAGTAGATAGATGCGGGCATTATTATACTATTTGTACTATTCGGATATTGGAATTGATCGTTCAGTGTAAACATTATTCAAGTGAAATATAAGAATTTGTTAGCCTCCCGGCTATAAACATTGGCCGTCATTGTATCGTAATAAATAATATAATTTTTCATATTTAGTTCTTTTATTTTGCTGTTTGTTTTATTGACTTTTATTTCCTCGTAGCTTTCTTAGCGGTATTTTGTAAAATTATACAGGTAGTCCTTTAAATAACTGCAAGTATTTGTTATAACTGGTAGTATATTTCAATCTCAGAAACAGGCCTGTTGACCTTTTACAAAAAAATGCATTGCAAATTTTTTGCACTGAACGATTAGCATGTTAGAATCATCAGCAGGTAATTAGTACGTCCCTACGTAAGTAATTACTAGATCTGCATGTGGGAATGTCATAAAGCGCTTATTTGGAGACCTCTCAAAAATCACTAAAATCACTTTGAGTTGGGTCCATAGACTTAAAATAAAATATTTTATTTTAAGTCTATGGTTGGGCCAAAGGACACACACAATATGGTAGGAACAAAAAACTGACATATGATAGCGGTTAGTTTAAATATCATTGGATCAGACCTATTTAGAATTTAGGTTATTGCCTATAAAATCGATGATACAAATACAGGGTGAGTCATAAATAAGTGCAAATATTTTCAGGGTTGGTAGATATCGGTAAAAGTACAGACCAAATAAACTTTTAGTCACGTGATTAAGCTTGACCGGCACAGCGTTGCCCACTTTTATATATTTTCTTTTAATCAGAATAGGGAGTTTTCGTTGCTTTAAAAAAATTCAACAGTACGGTTAACGGATACGTAACCATAACCGCTATTTTGACAGATAAAAAAACAGTTTTCGGACTTTCGGTTCGGAGCCGACATACGATACGATAACCGAAAACTGACAGCTGAGCACAGCCCGTAGCGTAGTGTTTTGATTTTTGGTTTTTGTATTGTTGTTTGATTTGAAAGTGCTTTATATGACTTTATTGGGTATCGCTATATAGGATGGACAATTTAATTTTATTGGACTCTAGTGATGAATCGGATATGGAGGATGCTATGCTGTTGGAAGGGTTTGAAAACAACATCGAATATCGAGCAGAACTTTATGGGGAGTTCAACCTAGAAATATTATCTGACCAAGAGTGCAAAGCTAACTTCCGCTTTGAAAAAAGACATTCTTCGATTAGTCGAAGCACTAAGAATTCCCAACGAGTTTAACACAGATAAAATAAATAATCAAAACATAAACAAAATAGAATGAGGTTAGGTTAGATCTGTATTTTTCAATGTTGTGTTTCTACTGCGCTAGTGCGCATGCGTACCGCTATGTTAACGGCTTTGGCTAACGTCCGTAAAATATCGGCAGCTAGCGGTTACGATATACGATAATCGAAATTGAAATGTCAAAGTTGTCAATTAGCGTTTACCGGAATTGCAATTTGTAAGCAACGAAAACTCCCTAATAATTTAGGAAACAAAAATAAATTAATTATAAACATATAAACAGTTATTATTTACACCAACAAAACTCACTTTCTTAACAGCACTTAAGGGACATAAAGCGCCATTACTATCGCTTTCCCGTTTAAAATATTCTAATAAAGTTGCGATTAATTTTTACGGCTATCTTGTACACTATGCACTAAACGAGGTTCTAAAAAGAACAATATTCTACTGCAAGGTCTGCTAGTAAACATTTTCAAGCTTAAAGTATCAGAACACTATTTATATAAAATTTACCATAGCAAAAAAGTTACAGCGATTTGTTAAAAATGCACATTTTTAAAAAACACCAATTCCGAAACGTTAACAGATATCGATGCACAGTTTTTACCATCATATTTTGCTAAAAATCGAGCTCCAGACACCGATATTAATTTTCGTCTATTTAATATGAAATAGGCGGTGTCCCGTGGTAAACTCAGTTTTTTATAAACTTAAGAATTTTGCATATTATACAGGTTTATTCGAGGGGTTGTTTTTTTACATTAGCTTTAAAACACCCTGTGCAATAATTTAGTGTCTAAATTTTCCTAAAATATAATTTTACGGTCAGAACTATGTCTTCTGAGCATTTTGTTTTTTGGATCAGCTTACCACCAACAATTTGCAATTTTTTCAAATATTATTTCCTTTTTTGAAATTATTTATCAATGTGACAATGGCTTTGGTGATTATTAGGAACTGTATATATGAACTACCCATCATGTTCGACGTTTGGCAAATGCTTGGCAGGAGGGTTAGAGGTCGCGAAGCAGTAACAGCTTCATTAAATGAACTTCGCTTGGTCCTTCAAGAAGAATGGGAAAACGTTACACAATATGATATATGCAGCGTCCATGACAGAATGAACGGACGTATACAAGCAGTTATAGCAGTCTAGGGCGGCAATATATACTATAAAGTATTAGGGTACCTATTTGTTACAATTTTTCTATTTGTATACTTAAGTATTACAGATGTTTTCTTTAATATCCGTAGTTCTGTTATCGTTATTAATGTTTATTAAAACCCGGACTCTATCGTCATAGTCATTAACGTTTTTTTTTTTAAATTTAGTGGAATATCCAATGCAATGTAATATGACGTTACGATAATAATAGTCACCAAAACCATCTCGTCATAAAAAAATTACATCAAAAAGTAATGATAATTTAAAAAATTGCAAATTAATCGCTATCAGTTCATTTTGCTCTTAAAAATTAACCAAAAAGCAAAATGTTAAGGAGTCATGGTTCTGACCGTAAAATTATATTTTAGGAAAATTTACATACGAAATTATTGCACAGGGCGTTTTAAAGTTAAGGTAAAAAGACAACCTCTCGATTAACCCTGTATAATGTCAAATACTAAAGTTTATAAAAAGCTAAGTTTACGAATTAAAGTTGATATAATTATATACAGCTTGCTAAAATATTCATGAAAATAGGGCTAAAAATTCACAGTCCTTTACAAAGATGCAACCGGGGGGGCATTGAAAATGATGAATAAAAACGTAAAAATATGATTAGTGTTAATATGAGTGTATTACATACATATGTTTAAATAACGAACTTAACAAAAAACAACAGATTTAAAGATTCACTGAAAAAGTAGTAATGTTAGAATTAAAGCTTAATTCTTAGCCACGCTTCTGTTTTTCTTGGCTGTTGTGCGTCACGTCACAGATTAACAGGCCCACGTTTGCACCACAAGGCGATGCTGCAGACCACTAGGTAGACCGGTCGTAGAAATTTATGTTATACAACTTGTAGTCAATCTACACAAATATTATCAAAAACTTTTTTTCTTTTAAAATGTGTTCAGATTTTGTAAAAAGTATAAGTCAAAATTGCAAAACTTAAATTTGATATGAGTTTCTTAGTTTTTAACTAATATAGTGGCGAATTACAAAAATTCCTTTTCAATGAAAATTAATGAGTGAAATAAAATAATTTAATAAATTACTAGCTTTTTCTCGCGACTACGTTCGCGTTACACCTCGAATCGTTCATGCATTGATTTAAATAATTTTTTACTTCTTTATAGAGAGCTTGTGAGCATAGATGTTTTTTATTTTTCATCTTTTTTTTATTTATTAAGAGCGCTAATACTCTCTTTATAGGTTATTTTTTATTCTTTGAAGGATAATTGAGGAAGATATATTTCGTTATGATGTCACTAAATAAACCCTTGTATAAAATTTTATACTGTCTGGTTTATAATGTTAT